AGCGCTCTCACTGGTGAGATTGTCGATCTTGCGCGACCCTCGCTTCCCAATGAAATTCCTGGAGCTGTGGTGCGTTGGAAAGCGGCTATCCATGGCTACGACGCCCCGTATTTGGCGTTAAATCATTTCAAGAACGTGTTTTTGTACATCACTGAGCACTTTGTACAAGCAGTATACAGTCAATTTATACGATTTAGTACATGCCACTATAGCAAAACGTTTCTATAGAATAGATAAATATCTTGACATCAATCAGGTTATATGGATTGTTCTCCGACAAAAACACCTTGAAAGCCTGACATTGATATCGAGGCCTTACCAGAGTCCTCCCTGTGTTATTAAACGCCTTCTCCCTCACCTCTTTTACTTCCTAGGTGCCCATAGGTAAATGAAGAGGACTGCAGCAGAAGGACGAGGGCATTGCGATTTGGATTCGTCTCGTGGAAGGACGTCTTAATCATGAGCGCTAGCAGTGATTACCGATCATCATAATTCGACTCGTGCAGAGTTTTAGTGAGTCCAAGACACTTGCTGAGACTGGGTTTCGCTTGCTCACAACAATGGATACAATCAAAGATGACACTTCCAGTACCAGAAGAACACATATACCTTACAAGTGGCGATGAAGGCAAGGGTTGCGGACAATTATTAGAACGCCAAGGTGCAGGGTCCGAGACTAGATAACTCCTAGTCGTTTAGGTCTGCCTGCACTGTCGCCGTTGACTCGAGGGAATGAGTACTCTCTCTGCAGGTTTCTTGATCACTTGCCAATCTTGGCCCACCATTTACCTAGGCAATGCCTGGTGGGTCAAAGTTGACAAGTGATCAAGCGCCTGTATGAGGTCGTCCTCATGAGTCAACAGGAGCTCTGCTGAGACAATGATTCGACGAACCTAGGCAATTCGTGGTTTCGCCGTCGAAGCACTGTCTCCACCCGGGGGAGTTGATCCGACCAGTACAAACTCTCGCTCCAGTAGCTCTGGAGTTTCCGGTACATGCTAGTCTGCGTTCACACTTGCGCAAGGTGAACGTAGGCTCCGGTTCAATGGGGTCGATCTTGAGCCGGTATGCATACTCACTTGTGGTATTTCTTTTTTTTTTTTTTTTCTTTTTTTTTTCTGTACGTTTGCGCGTTGCAACGAAATAGAATTTGTCTCGTTGTGCGATGAAAATTTTGGAGCTAAACATAGCAAATTTAATCAGACTTGCCGAATCGACCAAATCCGAAGAACAAAACATGGAAAGTACTGAAAGATAGAGGTAGTCATAGTCCATGAACTTCAAAAAAGCCTTCTGTCATTCGAAGTGAACGGTGTTATTGGGGGAATGTGCGATAATAAAGTCACGCGTTTTCTTTGCTTCTCCGTGGATAGGGGCACGCGACTCAAGTTGTGGAGCATCTTCACGCGCTGTAGTAGGTTGCTGACAGTGACTGGGCTGTCATATTCTTTCTTTCTTTCTTTCTTGTTTCTGCCTTTATCTTCAAGAGTAGATACACTCCTGTCCCCTTCTCAATTTCTACCATGGCCATCCTCAACATTCCTCCAAGCGTAGACGAAATCGTCAACAGGCAGCTCTTTCTCGGCAAGTAAGGCCATATTCAATATTCACTTTCTCTATCTGACCACGGCAAACACAGTTTATCCGCTGCTATGTCTTCCGAATTGCGAACGCAACTTGGAATAACACATATTCTCTCCGTCTGTCCTGAATTTCCTTCGACGGGCCCGAACCACTTGATGATTGCTGTAGACGACTCCGAATACGACGATCTTCTCATTCGCCTTCCCGAAGCCTGTAAGTTCATCCAGAAAGCTCTCGGCGAAGGAGGTCGGGTCTTGGTTCATTGTGTAATGGGTGTCTCCAGGAGTGCTACTGTCCTTTCTGCATTTCGTGCGTCAATATCACGTTCTCAAATTTCCTGCGCCACCTTTCTCACTGGATCGATTCAGTAATGCAATCTCGAAAATTTAGCCCTTCTCAGGCTCTGGAGTTCATTCGTTCTCGTGAGGCATCTATCTCATCGTTGTTGAAGCTGTTGTTCATTGTCATTGACCAGGCCGACCTTGTGTTCAACCCAATTATGGATTTCTCAAGCAACTTCACGCTTTCGCTCAGTGCGGCCATCATCCGTCAGCTGAACACCCGGCATACATTTCATGGAAGCGTCGACAAGAACAAGACGTCACTGTTTTTCTGAACCAGATGATTGACACTATTCCTGTTATCCGACAACAACTGTACCTCAGCAGGCACGTACTTGTATCCTTCTATCCCCACACGAATCAAGCCTACCTCTAACTGGCACCATCCCCATTCAGTGAACTTCCAGATGATGTGGAACAGGTCCAGTCCCTTCTGTTTGAATTTGGTATCACTCATTTGCTCTCGATTTCTCCCTCGGCAACCGTTCCGAGTCTCTCAACTCTTGTTAGACACCACCATATCCCCGACTCACAGCAGGAGCGTGATACGATTCTGCTTGTTTTGCCAGAGACGTGCAATTTCATCAGACAGGCGATATCTGATGGAGGTGTAGTACTCGTTTACTCGGAGATGGAATCAAAGGCCGTTCTTGCTTCATATGGATACCGTAAGCTTTGTGCTGTCTCCATTAATACTGGATACTGAAGGTTAACTTCTAGTAATGAGCTCCCGTGGACTTACACCCAAGCAGGTGTATCAGCAGCTGACCGAAGGTAAATGTTATTACCATTATATTGTCAAAGTTTATCTTCACTCCTCACTCTTTCTAGCACTTCCTCTCTTCAACCGCTCCTCCAATTTTACCCGACAATTGGAACTGTTTGACGCATGTTCATTCGCTCCAACATCTGACCATCCGCTGATTGAGGAATGGCTAAACTCTGGTGCATCATCGGGATGGAATAGTAGGCGAGGATCGTCAAACTCGACAGAGGTTGCGGCCGCACTCAGCGCAACTGCACTCAGTATCCTGAGTGACACAGGTCTTGATGGCAAGGCTTTCGGTGACACGCTTCACAGATTGCAGAGCAGTCCAAGAATGTCTAAATCTCCTGCTAAACTTCAGGCCATCGAGGTACAAAGCTAGTACGCAAGTCTAAGGCGTTGTGAGCTTGTTTCTTGTTTCCTGTTTTTTATCTGTTTTTTTGATATCCTGTACATATACGCTGGAAGTATTTCGTGTAATTCTCCACTCACTCATTGTGCTTATATCCATGAATCTGCGTATGTATCTGAAGACGAGCATTATCTATAAACCGTATCTGAAGTAAAGTATTATACTGTGGGTATAGTGTGATAACAATGACCTGCAATTGAATTACATTGTAGCGAACTCTATGAACGGACATTGACAACATCCTGAATCATCGACACACCATGTCCTGACACAGTATTCTTCCAGATTCCTAGAAACTCTGGATGCCTGTCTATCTCAAGCAAGACCATGGCCACAGTACTTCGAGAAGCGTACGCCAGATAACAGACAAGGACGGAAACTATATCGGTGCAATGATCTCGAGGAGCTGTTATAAGGATCTGCGCCCCTTGGCGCCGTCTTAAATCATATCCAGTCGCGCACATAAACTCTCTCGAAGCGAGAAGTTGTTTGGGCGTTAACAATGGGATACCCTCGTATGGCTCGCTGATGTCCCCGTACTCAGTGTAGAGTCTTCGGGCTACTTCGGGAGACAGTCCGTCGCAGTCGGTCTCGGAAGCAAGGATGCGCATGCGCAGTTCGAACAGATTATGAGAGTTCGAAAAAACATCCAGGTTCAACACCTGCGTCTTGTGAGAGTCGACGGTGTACGTTATATCGGGAGACCCGGACGGGTTTTTTGATGTAGTAAGTTTGATTATATGAGTAAACGTCTGGCCGTCAGGCGTTCTTAGCTCTTCTTCCGCAGGAAGACGTGAGTTCATCGAGGTGCTAAATGAGATACTGTCATCCTCGAATGCCATGAAAAGTCCTGGCATGACATATTGTAAACACCTGGATTCGTTTTTCTGCGGCCGTTGTTGACGTTGGCGGAAGTAGGAAGTTGGATGCGATGATGGTGAGGGTAAGTTAGGGGGGGTACTCTGTCCGTAAGGAAGATGTTCTCGAAGGCGGTACAAATTTCCCAGAGAAGAGAATTTGGGTGACTGGAGCATGGGAATATTGGATGGTTCCAACATTGTAATCGTTGGTTTCCGTCTCCTCGAGGTCTTCATCCCAGAGGAAGCCGTGGAATGATTTATGGAAGGAGAAATAGACGAAGATGTAGTGGAGGTAGGGTTGAACCGATTAGACGACGAGGAAGGGGAGGAACAGTCCATTCTTTGAAAAGAGCTGAACTGAAGCGTGTTATTTATAGTGCCCATTCCGCACAAGAGTACCCTGGTATACTTGATCGATGATCAGGATGTCGAACGGGGTAGGAGAACGGATACTCCTTTCTTCGCCGAAGGCACAACAATTTGGAGAATTTCAATCTCAAAGGGTCCGAATCAAGCCTACTAGGACACCAGAGAAAAGACAAAACTTGTTTGAATTAGAGGGTTGGATTATCTCGAACTTTCTCTCAACGGTTTATACAGACCGGAAAACAACACAGCATAGCGAATAGCCTCCTTATTTTGGATGGTCCTTCATCCATCGGTCGACTACGGTGGGTATAGGACAGGCTGATGATTCGGATTGTGGGTTGGCCTTGTACATCTGTTGACAACATTCATACAGTTGTCGTAGAATGTTATCGCATTTTTCTGGATGATAGGTATTTCTTCCTAGACAATCCTGAAGATCACAGGCTATGTGATAGTTGAGGGTCAAAGTTCCGGCTGCGCTAAACGATACTGACCTTGAGCCTGACACGGTGGTGACTCCTACACTACAGGTGAGCATTTAGAGGCCAAATCCGTTGGGAAACTTTACCTTTGACATGGTAGATGAGAACAAGGAACAGTTAATAGAAACCAAAGCGCAATCTAACTGGAGAACGCATGATTTTGTACTACCTGAAGGTGAGGATATGGTCACTTTGCCGGAGTGGTTAACGGGATCGCCTGCTATCAATAATAAAGGCAGCTTGAGCGGTTGGGCTTTGCCCGCGTGTGTTCGAATCGCACAGGTGACGATATGTTTTTCCTTTTTTTCTTTTCCTTTTTTTCTTTTCCGGTAATATAATGCCGAAGAAGATTACTATAGTTGTTAGAGAAATGCGATGCACAGTGATATGCAACTTCCAAAAACATGCTCATTTGAGATGCATCCCATCGCGTGCTAACCCTCCTTTACATTTACTTTGATACCTGATTTACTGATTCTCTTTGGTACAATATTCATTCTGTTCTTACTAGGTATCTTAGTCTTCTTCCACCACTTAGATTACAATATTCATTGTCTCTTCTTACTAGTCGTCCGTCATCAAGCCTCATCCTCGGTCCAATGTGCAAACAGTTCTCTGAAGCAAATTCTATCTGAGACTACGTAGCCTTCTTCGCCTCTTTCCTAGCCGCAACCTTATCCCGGTCTCTCTTCTGGAACAGTTTATGTCTATTCGTAGAACTTGCAGCCGATTTCGCCAATGTCTTGTTCATTGACTTGTTCTGCTCGATATACGACATATGCTGTGCCCCACTCAGAGACGTCAATGAGCTCGTCATCCTCTGAGCCGCAGGGAACCTCGACGGCTGGCCAAAGTCTTTCGACGTAATCGTCCCTGCCAAATCACCCTCGGATGCTCGAACGTCCGAACCAGGTTCTGCGTCAGCTTCGTTGGCGATCAGTACCGACTGTAAAAGCTCTATTTGTTCCTCCCGAGTTCGATAGACGAGACCAGGAAAATCTTTTTGACCGTCGAGGCTGGTGATCACTTTGAATGCGTATCCTTGGTCAATTAGGAATTGTTGGCGTTTGGTGGAGTAGAACATTTCTTGAGTGTCTTTGGATACGAGGGAGTAAAAGAAGGCATTAAAACCTTCGTCATTTCGACGTTTGGCTCGAAGTATACGGCCTAAACGTTGCGCTTCTTGTCGTCGGGAGCCGAAATGCGACGATATTTGAATGAGGCATGTTGCTTCTGGTAAGTCGATAGAGGTATCTCCAACCTGGTAAAATTTCTGTTGAGTCCCTAGCTAATGGCACATGAACACATACCTTTGACAAAAAGATGGTGCTGACAGCCGGGTCGTGCTGGAAGTGTTGCAAGACTCGCATACGTTCTGTCTGTCCTGTACCTCCGTGGATGTAAGGTTTACCCAGTTTTTTGGCATAGGCCTCCACCAGACCATGAATGCATTTTCATTACTATCGGTAAACTAACGCACCTCCAACGCAAATACGTTATCCGAAAAGACAATTATCTTATCTCCTCGTTCTTCATGGTAGTTGATTAGATATTGACATGCCTGAAACTTGTTGGGATTCATGCAGTATAGCAATGCACGTTTCCGAGACTGTTCACGCAGATATTCATGGTAGAATTCGGGTGTCATACTACACCAGACTTCAGCGCACTACCAGATTGTAAATTTTCTGGAAAAGATTGAGCGTGCAGTTTGATTCGTGCTTACCTGAACATTCGCAATATGTCCTTTGGCAGCAAGGTCCCTGGCATGTAGAGTGAGAGTGAATCAAAGGAACAAGAGGAATTTATATTACATCCAATTTGCTTCATATAACTTTGGCCCAATCATGTAGTTCAAATCCGCAATCTTGTCGTCTTCACGAACTAACGTGGCTGGAAGGGAACGCTCCCGTCAGATCCTACTCTGAAGGACAACAAAGCTCGCTTGATGTTTAACTCACCCGTAAGCCCAAGCTTGGAATGTGCCTTGATAGTAGTTACCACTCGACGGAACATCGCCGCGGGGACGACGTGGACTTCATCTAACAGTAAGAACCCCCACTCTCTCGAAGTCAAAAACTCCATCATCTTCTTTGACTCGTGTGATCGATTGTGAGTGTTGGCCACCATTGAGTAAGTGGAGACGACAATGCCACTTTCGCCAGCAAACTTCTCTTTTTGGTCTGCGGTGAAGACAGCAATTTGTCTGTCGGTGATGTTGGACCATTGGAGAAATTGGGCTCTCCATTGGTACACTGAGACGCTGATGAAAGAATTTTATTATGGGTAGGCAAGGATTGAAAATGAGGGTCTTACGATGATGTACAAAGGACTAGACATGATTTTTTAATTGTGCATGCGGCAGTGATTCCGACGAGGGTCTTTCCAGCACCACATGGAAGGACAATGATTCCGGAACGAGCACGACTGAGAACCGTGAACATACTGGATAGTATAAAAGGTAATGACATACCCATTTCCAAACATTTTGCTCAGACTAGTCTCTTGATAAGGTCGAATCACAGTGGCAGGTTTCAGGTCGATGTCTAAATTAGCATTGACAGTATCATTTCGAAAGTCATACTCCTCTAGCATGGGACTATTAAGCTCGTTACATCTCTTCTTGACATCCTGTAAATTTTGTGAACAACAGGCGTTCTGTTTTGGAATGGACAGACGTACGTCTATCTTGGCGTCATTGATCTCAAACGAATGGACGTTCTCGTCGTCTTCGTCTATCTCATCTGGAAGATTTTATGGAAATCATAGTGAATAGATAAAAGAAATAACGTACCTCCTTCAACACCAACAACTGACGTGAAGAGATCCGCATCATTGCTTTTCCCTTTATTCGCACCATCGTTATTCTTGTCACCCTCCTTGCTTGTCCCTGGGATGACCAGATTGCCTTTGACTGGGACCTTGGACGTTGTAAATGTATTTCCTTTGATGCTGTTGTCGGTCTGGACTGACATCACACGCGCATCCTGAATTGCTCCATCTCGCAGCAGCTTTTGCAGAATGTCAGGATGACTAGACTCAACAAAGTACTTATTGTGTTTTAGAACAAGCTTGACTTTGCCGTAGGTCTCAGTGCATTTTCGTATATGTGATATGATGGGCTCCGGGACAGGGACCTTGCCATACAGTTTGAACAAGACTCGGATACGATTTCGCAATCGTCACATACCTTGGACAGACGGTTAAGGACCTTAGTGACATATGTTAGCATATGAGTAAGCAGAGTGCCAAAGCACACGGACTTCAATTATATCTTCCGTTTGGAGCCCAACAGACACAGCGGCATACAAGGAGTAAGAGGTAAGCTTATATTCGTGAATGAAGGCTGGTCTGCGATATAGGGGATATATACCTAGAGCAAAAACAGCAAGATTGGAATAATACGCACCTGCTGACAGGTTCACTAATTGCTGTCAGAAAGTCTTGTGCTTGTTCAGCAATGGGAGAGAAGGCTTCGAGGATGATGAGACCGTCGTCTGGACTGATCCAGAGCGGACGGGAGGCATGGTCGGGTTTGAGGTGCATGAAGGAAAAATCTTGATCCATGAATATGTGTGAGACGAGATTGCTTTGCTGTAGCCGATGAATCTCCAAAGGCGACTTGTCCGTTGTTGCCAAGTCTTCTGCACGTTTGGCCTCTGCAAGTTTGCGAGTAAGTGCGCTAAAATTGATTGTAGCATTTCGAGGAACGAGGGAATTTTCGTCGGGTGGTGAAGGAGGGATTACATCGTCTTCGTCTTGGATTTCCAGGTAGTCATCTGGGTCAGCGGCCCTCTTCGTCCGTTTCGAGGGGTGGTAACGAGCGGTCCCTAAGCAGAGTGAGTTATATGGTTCGATTAGCATGTTTGCGCAATATACCTTCAGCAGGTCGTTTGTACGACATGGTAAGAAAGAAGAGGTTTTGGCTCTTAGCTTGGGCGCTTGCTTTCGAGCAGCGATTACTCACGTGAAGTATGGGTCACAATCGTCACCGTGACTGACAAACGCAGGTTTGTTGTTCACCAACTGCCAGGTTACTGCTTCGGTGAAGTGACTCTCTCCGGCTTCAAGATGATTCCAATGTCCAACACGAGCAGCTATGAGCGCTTTAGACAGGACCAAGCACAAAGGCGTTCTGTGGCTCGCTCAAATTCATCTCTGCTGGGGAGCCTCAAAAATTTTGTCGCCGCACCATTCGCCAGACTATTTACCGGGACGACTGGCGACTTCGATGACCCTAATGATCTATCTGGGAAGCGAAGGTTAGCTATCAATAAAAACATTGAAAACAACGATATTGTTGAGGACGGTCCCGCTCCTGCTAAACGTATGCGAGTCAAAAGTCCGGACCGGCCTTCTCCCCAACGATCTACTGGTTACTTAGACCCTCCTGGCTCTGCTTTTCATCTCGATAATCGGAATAACTTATTCAATCAACCTCCCAGTCGTTCGGTATCGATATCTCTACCATCCACTACTTTACCAGATTCTTCCATCCATAATGCTCGCTCAACTATTTCTCCTCTGCGCAACACTTTTTCCCGAAACATGTCTATAGATTCTATCCCTCCAAATCAGCCCCGGCCCCTCTCTCGCGATATATCTATGAAATCTCTTTCTTCCATCCCCGTCGAACACAGCCTCACCATGAGAGCTGGTTCTCGAGATTCTATGCCGCCTTTGTCAAGCCATTCCTTCCGCTTGCGCAATTCAGCAACCCCACAGCCGCATCATTCTTTTGGCCGGAAACCCAACCGCGACGTTTCCGAACCTCCGCCAGTGACTATGCTTCACTCCAACCCTGTCTTTGTACGTGGCCCGAGTCTAGCTCTGGAGCCACAAAGTCAGCCAGTTCCAACTTTAGGATCCCTCGTGGATGCTCAACGTATCGTATGTCTGCCACACTGCTCTCTGATTGCCTATCGTCTTATCAGGTCGTTGCAGGTACAATCTCCCAGTCGACAACGCAGTTTGTTATTTGGTTCGTCCCAGCATGCAAGTGAGTTTAGCTTTTTACGTATAAATGCAATATACCTAAACTTCCTTTTGTGCTCACAGTTAATTCTCAAGCTATCACAGCTGAGCGAACCTTACATGAATTAGAGTTTTACAAAACACCTCTTGTCCCGACCCGAATCAGGTCCAGGATGCCTTCTAGCCTTGGAGCATCTGCATCTACGAACCTCACAGATATGTTTGCCCGCAAACATTCCCTTATCTTGATGGGAGATCATGATCGCCCGACTAAACGAGATAAGAAAAACAAGGGTCAAGGTAAGAGTAGAAGT